CAATTCAACTACTGGCAAAACATTTAAGCGTTTTTTGAGCTGCTACGACTGAAAACTTTGACTTTTTTTATTAATGTTTTCTGAAAAAAACACTAGTCATACAATTTCCATATATGGATATAGACGCACTAGACGCAATAATCTATAGACGCACGGTGCGGGTAAAAGCTAACACAAGCGGCATTAAAACAAAATGCCAATGACGATTAGTGAACCTAACCAACGAGCTTGGTCAATTCTAACTAACCAAATTTGAAATGAACCGAGTTTGACAGCGTTTTTTTTTGCTTTTTTTGAAAAAATAGTTTTGCATGGTTTTTGATAAACAATAAAAAATTTATGTTTCAAACCAGATTATGACTAATTATTTCAATACTTCGATAAATCTATTGTGGTAAATCTTGCATTAGGATTTAACAGGATAAAATGATTGCGCCGACATTGAAAAAGCGGGGAAGTTTATAAATCTTAGGCAAATTCTCATACTTGAATAAAAAAGTTTCCAGAAAGTCCGTCAAAAAGTTTTAATAATTTTTTTTGCTCTACTGAGCATTAAAACTTGGATGCTACCTCTAAATTGTTTTGTAATACTTTTTCGGTTCATGCTAACACCCCTAATAATACTTCGAAGGGCACATCTACTTAATTGTAACCTGCTAATTTACAAATCAAATTTTGTCTCAAAAAACATACACCAACACTGCTCCTTGGGTGCCCGGGTTGAGTTGACAAGGAACGCATTCGCTGATTCAGAGATATCTCAGTTTTGCGGAAAAATAATGGCTAATCCCAATTTTATAAAAATTTTAGCATTGACTCATGCTTTCAAATATGTGTTTTGGAGTTTCGAAAACTGTCCTTTTGGCTGCCTTGTTTTTTTGTGAAGTTACATTTTTCTGGGTTTTTATAGGGGACATAAGTTTTGTGAGACCACAACATGAAGAGTTGAAAAACTTATTGGGTCAATTTTCGGTTAATTTTGAATGCGTTAGAGCGGATATAATTTATTGGTTTTTTATAAAATCCTCATCAAACAGAACAGAATTATAATTTTTCTAGTAGTGAAATAAGCATGTTCAAGATTCCTCCAAGCTTATCGAGCAACTCAAACTTTTCAAGCCATATAAAAGTTTGTACATACATCATTTGCGAAAGTCGAATCACAATATGGGAAAAATGTTTATGCATGATTAGTTCACTAGCAATTTTGGAAATAGGAATCACACGCTAGCATGCTAGCAATATAAAACAACCACAATGAACAAAATCTAAAATTTATTTCAAAACGATCAAATAAGTGCACTTTTTTGAACAATTTTTAACCATGCACATTGAAACTGAAAAGATTTAGCAGCTGAATTGGCTTTCAATTTTCAAACTTACCACTATCAACTAAAACCTCTTATCGAAGTAGATTCTATACAAATAGATTCATCATCTAAAGAAATAGGTACAGAAATAGGTTCATCATCAAAGGCACTAGTAAACCTCATTGAATTGAAAGAAACTCTGCCCTGATAAGTGCTTGGAATTGCAGCGAAATCTGCGGATATCAGAACGAGCAAAACACAGCACAAGGATAGCCGGTTTCTGTGCTAATAGCACAGAAAACCCGACGACCATATTTAAAAATACAAAAAAAAATCAAATAAGTCTTGTATTTTAGGACAAATATCAAAAAATTTCCAAGACTTTTTCTCGACGCGAAAAAGTTTTTTGAATTTTCTAACGTTGAAATCACGACCAAAAAACTTTGATATGATACATCACTCGAACCTTTCAATCAAAAGGAAAACAAGAATATAAAGACACACACAAGCACTCTACCAAATACTTTCAATGGTCGGAACTACAAGCATACGAAAATTATAGAATCGATGTTGATAAGCAGTCAAGTTCTGTGTAATTGATCTGAAAAACCATCCCAAGCATATATATTTCTCACTTTCTTCGAAAGCCGGAATAAAATTTTTTTAAAAAAATTGCGGAAAGCAATCCGATACTAATAGCCACAAAAAGAAGAAGCCGTTAAGAATCTTCAATTTGAAAATTGCCTTGTAGAACAAGTCGTTTAATCGCTATATAAGTAAAAAACATCCGCAACAGTAATTTTAAAAAATGCTGATAACGATAATGTTAACTAACGAACTTGCACAACACCCATGTGATGATCTGAAAAATTACGAGCCGATAATCACCGTATATTGAGAAACCCGGGTTGACCTCCATAGACCGAAAATGCTAATCATACAATTTCCTACACTTAGTCTATGGAAAAATGCTTGTCATACAAATTTCATACATTTTTGTAAAATGAGTTTAATCGAATTTTAAAGGTATTTTATAGTTGTTTTGGTATCGAAATTGGTATCTCTTCATAAAAAAAGGAAAAAAAATGGTATGAAAAAAATGCTATATATGGAAATTGTATGATTAGAATTTTTTTTTAGAAATTTTTTGTGAAAAAAAGAAGCTTTGAACAATCAATTCAACTACTGGCAAAACATTTAAGCGTTGTTTGAGCTGCTACGACTGAAAACTGACTTTTTTTATTTTTGTTTTCTGAAAAAAAAACACCAGTCATACAATTTCCATATATGGATATAGACGCACTAGACGCAATAATCTATAGACGCACGGTGCGGGTAAAAGCTTACACAAGCGGCATTAAAACAAAATGCCAATGACGATTAGTGAACCTAACCAACGAGCTTGGTCAATTCTAACCAACCAAATTTGAAATGAACCGAGTTTGACAGCGTTTTTTTTTTGTTTTTTTTTTTTGAAAAAATAGGTTTGCATGGTTTTTGATAAACAATAAAAAACTTATGTCTCATACCAGATTATGTCTAATTATTTCAATACATCGATAAATCTATTGTGGTAAATCTTGCATTAGGATTTAATAGGATAAAATGATTGCGCCGACATTGAAAAAGCGGGGAAGTTTATAAATCTTAGGCAACTCTCATACTTGAATAAAAAAGTTTCCAGCAAGTCCGTCAAAAAATTTTATTATTTTTTTTGCTCTACTGAGTATTAAAATTTGGATGCTACCTCTAAATTGTTTTGTAATACTTTTTCGGTTCATGCTAACACCCCTAATAATACTTCGAAGGGCACATCTACTTAATTGTAACCTGCTAATTTGCAAATCAAATTTTGTCACAAAAAACATACACCAAAACTGCTCCTTGGGTGCCCGGGTTGAGTTGACAAGAAACGCATTCGCTGATTCAGAGATATCTCAGTTTTGCGGAAAAAATATTGGCTAATCCCAATTTTATAAAAATTTTAGCATTGACTCATGTCTATTATTCATATGGTCATATGGTTATTTCATGTCTATTATTCTCAGCGCTAGTCATGGACAATTTAGCCATGATAAATTCCTGAATCAGCGCTGAAAAAAATTCAGTTTCAAAGTTTTGTTACGTGTCAATACAATCATCAAAAAACCATTGAGTTATCCTTAAAGTTAAAAAAACTGTAAAAACAAACTGCTGAAAACAACCGAAAAACCTAGTTTTTTAAAGAAAAAGTAGAAATGTGTTAGCTTTGGTATTTGAAGGTCTTGAGCAACTTAACTTGCCTGGAAAAAGATGGTGTTTTGATAGTTTTTGGAATTTTTGGATTATTACTGATTTTTTTTGCTTTTATTGTATATATTTGCCCCCAACATTTTGTTTTTATTGATGATTTTCATGAATTTGTTTTTATGCTCAAAATTTCGTTCATACAATTTTGTATCTTATGATTATTTTCATTCTTTGTTTCTTTTGGTGTGATTTTAATTTTCGTTTTGAGTTTTCAAACAGCATGCTTTCAAAAGTAGAAAAATCTTTTTTTTTTTAAATATAATCCTATTTTAGATTAAAAAAAGTGATTTTTTGGGTCCTTAGAAAATGCATTATAATCGGTTTTAAGCAGATTTTATACCGCAAAAAATCAATTTTTAAGACTTCATAATCAATTTTTCTGAACTGCATAAAATCCCTATATTATCCATTTCAGTGTCTAAATGGATTACACACAATAGATTTTTAACTAGTAGAACAACTTTATAATAACTGATTGCAATCGATTGCAATCTTAGTTTTGCAATGTGAGTTGCGACGAAAATAGGACATCGTTGGAAGGTTTCGGTCGAATCATGAGTCGGACACCTCAGCCCGGGTAGTCAGGATTTTTTTAGGACTTCATAGGTTTTCGGGGTTATAGCAGAGAAAATCCATCTCTGATTTATAGATGATTTATGTCTGATTCAGACCTGAAAATTTAGCGCTAATTCAGCGATGCGTTAGCGCTGATCATGAATAAAGTGACCCTGATCATAGACTGAACCATAGATGGTAATGGCTGCGATATCTCTGATTTAGCGATAATTTTTCCTGTCAACTGAACCCGGGTCGATGATTTAGAGGCCAATTGATTTTTTGAGCGTTTTCTTCAAACATTCAGATCTGCATTTGGAGCTGTTAGAGATTTGAAATCAGCTGCAGATTGTAGAAAGACCCGTCCCAACTCTCAGAGTTTCTTCAACATCAAGCTAAAAAAAATAATCAGCCTTATGATCCTATCCCACAATGACCTTGAAGCATTTTGTTCCAATTTGTACTAAAAAGCGCGTACGGAGTGTAAAAATTATGCTGATGTCTGTCAAACCTTCAAAAAATGGCGCTCACGGTTTTCGTTATAATTTTTTGTGAAAATTTTTAAATCTATAAGCTGTAATACTAGCTAAAACAAAAAAATATAGTAATCTTTGATAGGGTAGACATCGAGAAAAATTGACATGCATCCTACATTAATTAATAATATAATCTTAAAGCCCCCACCACCCGCCGTGATGATCGAAATGGTGAAATCAAACAGGGCGGTAAAACAAAATCGGTTGAAGATGAGATACACTTCTGTAAATAAATAAATAGATAAATTCTACCATTTCATGGTTGAACCGATTTTTTCAATTAAAAATCAGCCGAGCGATAAATGAAATTTCCAGTCAGATTTCAGTGAATTTTGCAATGATAGAACATTTGTACATTGTGCACACCTTTCAAGCAAAAATTGGTTAATAAACCAGCTTTGTTGTTTCTCTTCTCGGCTTTTTTAAATCAATATCCAGTAATCAGTAAATCGAGAGTTATTGAGTAAATATTTTTAAAATGAAGATCAAATCTATCAAAAAAGTACCGGTCGTCAAATTTCGTAAGTGATTTGCTTTTCATTTTTTTGAAACAAAATTTAGATCTAAAACATTCGAAAAACGCCCCTTCCACCGTATAAAAAATTGCGTTATAGCAGACGAAAAGAGAATAGAATAATTTAGCCTTAATTTTAAATCACGTGAACAATCACAAAATCAAAATGTTTGGCTCTTTCACAGCAACTATGATTTTGGTCGACAAAATCTTGGCGTTTGAGTCCAATTTTCTGCCATTTTTAGGGGAACGAAAACTACTTTTGGTGTATGAGGGAAGCTCCAAAAAAAATAATCAGTTTCCAGGAATTTTTCAATTAACCCCTCGCTGAAAAATTAGATTCATCTTTTTTCAACTAACGATTGGTAAATTGATCCGAATTTGCTCTGTCGAAAGTTTTCTCAAACAAACTTTTAACAAATACATAAAAAACGTAAAATGACGAATTTAGGACGTTTTTGACGAAGTTTTTCTTTAGATTTCGTTGTTTGTGTGATATGCAATCTCTCTTCATGTCTATCATTGGGGATTAGTAGAGAACATAAAATATCCCAGGGTCCCCCCTACTACCCGACAATCAGCCAATTCTTCGATCGACACTCGCAATCGAATACATTCACAATTACATACAACCTCAAAATCATGCCTCCATTTGAAAAAGGAAAAACAGAGCGCTAGATTACAATATCAAGTCAACACTAAAAACATCTGCCAGGAAAACTTTAAAGAAATATTATTGATCCGACAAATCAAAAAATGGGGAGGAATTTTGTCTTCGAAAGTGATTTTTTTTTCGTTTTCCGAGCACAATCAGCTGTCACAATTAATCATCGGAAATGACTGATATATTATATTAAAGTTCTTTCAGTTGTAATCTGAACATTTTAAAAAATCCATAAACATTTCTCAATGTCAAGAAAAACCAGTTTGAAAATTTTGAAAATTTTTGTAATTTTTTTCTATATTTAAATGATTTTTCTTTCTTCTTAAGATATTTTAAATTTACAATTGAGTCTCTATATATCAAAAAAAATATGCGGAAATAATAAAAATTATCGATATTGAAAATTTAATCTACCGCTCGAAAAGGAACCAAGTTTGTGGATATGATGCGAGAGCCAAAAACAAAAAATTCCAGAGAAGACGGGTTTGAGAGTGGAAGCGACAAGGATAGATTTAAAGCCTGTCAGCCTTGTTCCAGAAACTGTCCAGTGACATCCAACATTTGCAGCGCCAGTTATCGAGTGTAAGTTTTCAATTTTCATTGGCTCACCAATAGCTTCAGGTGGAGATCAAAAAACGATAGCAAGTCTTTTTTTAAAAGTAGGAAAAATTACTTCAAAAGACGTATTTACTAGTAGCCCACAAACAAAAACGCGCTCATGAATTCAAAGGAATCAGATTAAAAATTACCCATCTGCCACTCTTTTCTACTTTTACTGTAAAGTTAACAGAAGATTTTTTTGCAGGGTGGTTAATTTTCACATCATGAAAAGGATTAGCAAAAAATTTTGCAAATGTTACGACATTAAATGTAAAGCAAAATTATTCGGGAATCAACTCAGAATCTGACTTAAGACATTAGAGTGCATGAAGCGAAAATTCGCACCAAGCGTCAATTTCAAGCAAGGCGCAGTTAGCAGCACAATTAATTGTGGTATGCTGATTGAACAAAGTGTTCTGCGGTGGCTTTGAGGGGTGTAAAAACCGATAGAACGAAGATTTTAACTTATTCCACTTTTGAAATAACAACCAAAACGAAATGAAACAAGAATGCCCGTATCAGGGAGAAGCCTTGAATGTTCCGACCGCCTTTTAAGGTCTATGGAGCAGTAACAACTTGAAAAAATTGAATGTTATACAATAAAACGAAAAAAAATTGAGATTTTTCATATTAATCATTTCCCCAAACGCTATATAAATTACAAGGTGACAGATTCAGCAACTAGTAACAAACCAATTATGGCAAATAGGCTTTCTTCAACCAATTTTGAACGCTTTCTAAGACGAATTGAATATCCGCTTACGCGTTAGTAGCGCAAAATATCGCTCGTTAATTGTCCCAAATTAGCCAAAATGGTAATTTTTATACCCTCATAACTTTACGAAAAATGATCACAGGTGAAATATCTTTTCAAGTTTAAGCTCAGGACAACAATACTTTTAGAATGATATTAAAAAAATTGGCACAGTCAAAAATGGCTAGTTAAAAAGTCGAAATTTGTCTGAAGAAAAGAAAACTATCCCGAGCACAAAAATTCCGTTACTTTCGGTACGAAAGTCAGAATAATAACAGTAAAGATAAGAGTAAATAAAGAAAAACATCAACTTATACAATTTAATTTCTACTCTTTCCTTTCAATTATATCTCACAAATTATTTTCCTCGCTGATACCGATTTGTTTTTGGTCATGAGCGGGAAAAAAACAGCAGCTGAACAAAAATGGAATTATTTTCAACCTAAACCGCCACAACAACATAACGAATGAATCCAGTTGGCGATGCTCGAAGAGACCGTGTAAAAAGCGCATGCTTCTAAGCTCATTCGTTGCTCTGACTCTAATATCTGAGCTCGACTTTGAAATTGGCATGGTTGTTTTATGCTGTGAGTTTTCCGACAAAAGCGGAGAGTCCGCATTTTTGAATTAAAACTTCTTATTTAAAGAAGATTCCTCCTTAATGAAAGATTTCGATTCAATTTGGGTTGGAACACCCCTTTGAGGTCGCATAGGGGTTGGACAATTCCCTGTTTCACTCTTGACTCAGTTCGGTAACGACAAAAAAGGAAGACAAAAAATACACAATTTGGTCAAAGGATGACACCGGGTTTTCTAATTGGAAATAGGGTGTGCCCGTTCTAAGATTAAAAATGGTATCTAACTCCTCAGAACAAAGCAAAGTCTCTCGGAGAATAAATTAGTGTCATTGTGGCAAAATACGATAAACTTCAATTCAGAATAGTTGAAATCCCTAAACATTATAGCAACAAAAACAAACTCAAGCAACTTGAGAGCCTCTTGTTCAATTTTAGTTTTCAGTTTCTTTGTTTCTCTATTTATATATTTCATCAAACTTTTTATGATTTTCAAAGGTTTTACAGCTATTAAATTTTGCCTGCTTCGAATCGTCGCGTGCTGCGATTAGTCGTTTTATTTACAACTGCTACGAATCTCTTGGATGAGTTGTTGCTTGCAACGGCTTGTCGCTATGCACACAATGAAATGGTACCTTAGCAATGGTAACCTGTTTTAAGATCTCCATTTTCGGCTGACTGCTCCTGAAATTTTTCTAATGGTTTCTTGAGCCCAATAAATGTAATTTTGAGAGGTTCTCTGCTGCCAAAAAGCAATTTTTTGTCAAATTATTCTTTAAAAAAGACAGAAAAACAATTTTTCGGCGATTTTTTTAGAAACTTTGTCTGCTGCCAGAAAATTTGGTCGAAATAGAGTCTTACTAATGATTTGAGAGAGCTTAGAACATCACTCTGGTCAATATAGCTAAAAGAAAGGTCAAAAAATCCTAGATCCGCACCTGATCCATTTGCTCAAGGTATCTAGGATTTTATCTAATTGTGCCAGTGCAAAGTCTGTAAACAACTCCTATTTTAAACAAGCATGGTAAATACTTTGTGAATGCAGGAAACCGAGAAGGCAAAGAATGAGAAAAATTGATGATGGTGAAAAAACCACTCCCATCTTGCAAATTTGGGTCAGCTCAAGACAACTCCTCCATCTCCGTTGAAATGTGGAGCTTCTTGAAAATAAAGGAATTCAGCTGAGGAGTTGAGTAAGATCTAGTTGACAAGTTGAAACAGCCCGCTCCTCGAAGAACTTTGTAACAGACCATGAATCAATGCTTGCAAGTAATCATGATGTCTGCTTGTTATGCTGAAAGTTTAGCAGGAGTTGTTTATGCGTGGCGAATTATCCCACTCAACAAATTGTTCCAAATTAAATTGAGGCTAGCTAATCGGTCGTATTAATTTCACACTTGACATTTGATTTTATGTAGAATTCATAGTTTTTCAATTTTTTCTTTTTCCAAACATTTAATGGATATAGGCTAATGAGCAACCGGAACATTCAGGGCTTTGCTCTTACACACGAGCACACTTGTTCGTATTTTTATAGGAGCCTAATGGTAATTTGCGATAATTAACGCGCGATCTATTTCGTGCTATTAACGCAGAAGTGGAGATTTCAATAGTCTTAACAGTTGTTTCAAATTGAAATGAGGCATGCTATTTGGTCTATTTGATACTTTGCTAATGCAAAATTACTTAGCTTTGTATTTAAGAGCGCGTGGAAAGATCGTTTAAAAAAAACTTTATTTTTTTAAATTATGTCACTTTCTTTATAGCGATCACTACTCCATCGACCTGAAAAAACAGTCTGAACTTTCAGGTAATTGATACGAGCAGTCTTGTTTCCTTCTCAAATTAAAATTACTGACTTGATTGTTTTGCAGTCACCAAAACACCAACTAACAACAACATAATTAGGAACGCTCTGACAATTGCAGAACTTGGGTAAATAGTAAAAAAAAACAGGACTACCCGAGACAAGGGTTAAAATCACAGTTCTACAGATGCTTTTAAAACCCAAATTTAAAAGATGGAAAGTTTGTGCTGTTTCAATTCTGTTATTTTGAAAAATTCATATTGCAAATGTCAAAGAGGTGAAGCCCCTCTTTTTTGCTCCATTTTTGTAGTGAAACATTTGTACTGAAACATCTATTTGTACTCCTACACTCTTCAACTAACTTCTTATTTTTGTTTCGGGCATTTTCTAAAAGCAATCATGGCGCAGTACAGATGGAGTTTTTAAATTAATTAGAGTTAACTCCCAAACCATGATAAAATGTGGCGATAAAAGTTGGGGAACAAAAGTAGTAAATAGTCTCGGTTAGTTAAAAATTCACCGTTTTCTCTTTATTTCCAATGTCTCGATATATTCAAAAGGCTCACTTTTCCCTTGTTTTTCAGGTCCATATCCGACCGCACAACAATTGGTCTCGGGAACTTGAGTAAGTCGAACAGTGATTTCTGGACTGGCGATTGGAAACTGACTGTAATGGACTATGAAAACCCAAGCGACTTTGGACTCTTCCGATTCTCAATTCCGCCTTACGAAGTTTTGAATGAGCCAGAAACACTCCAGAAAGGTAATTAAGACAATTTATAAAAAATATTACATCCACAAAAGATTATGATTCCAATTTACTGCAGCCGAAATTTACTGAAATTGGATTTTAAAGGCCAGCAACCTTTAACCTCCAGATTTTTATAGGCCAGCAACCTTCAAATTTTAAAACTCCCAAGACATTTTTCAAAAAAAATATTGAGAAATCATTCTTTTCCGAGAACCAGATTTGTGCTAATTTGTCCCAGAACCAATAACAACATAACAAAGCAATTACTATCAGCTAAATGAACTGAACAATTTCTTTACGCTGAAACTTTCTCAGTTTTTTGTTAATTTCAAAATCTGCGCAAAGTGAATTTTGCTATGTGAATTTTGTTATTAAGGTAGTATTTTTTCATTCGATTCATTGTTTCGTTAGTCCTGTATAGGGATACATAATTTTGATACCATAGGAGGGTGGGCGTTAGGGATTAAGAAGTCAGATGAAAATAATTTCTTTTTTTGAGGTTCATAAGACCGATGATCAGATTTCTTATCGGTGTTCTTACGAGATGAGTTTTCTTATTGTTTGAGTTGTGTTAATAATAACTGAGTCTGTTTCATTCTTGAAAACAATTTTTGGATCTACTTAACAATCTCAACACCCCCTCCCCCCCCCCCCCCCCCTCAATGGTACCTACTTAAGAATCTCCACCCCCCATAAATAAATGCAGTAAATTAGCACTGAGCTTCCTATTGAGAATTCTAATTTTGCTGTGCATTCTGATTGGTCGAAAAATTGACCAATTGGGATCTACTTATCAATCTCCCCCCTTTCTCGAAATGGGTGGATATTGCCAAGTAGATACCAATTTTTTCTGATTATTATGTTTCAGTCGGCTATATTGTTCTGGGTCATTCGCAACTACTTAATCCTGAGCTGCAGACACTGATGATTACCACCGGCATTCTCATCTTATTCTTAAAACTTTGAACTAAATTACAAATTCTTATTAATTCTGTGATAAATTTTTTAAGCTATTAGTTAACGACTACTAATTTATACAACCATTTAAATATTACTGACTGAATTAAATTAGAAATATTAGAATAAGACTGCAAAAAATAACTTTCAACATGAAGAAAAGTCACATTAGTGCTGAATAATTTCCGAAAAAAAATCATATATTTTTTGCAGTCTAAGCACTATTAAAACAATTTTTCTGCAAGGCAATAGCAATTTCCTCAACGCAGTTTCTCAATACAACAGGAATGAATAAATGAAACTTTCATTGACTAATCACAAATCAGTATTCAATTGTTTTGGAAATAAAAAATTTGTGATACGCTGAAAATTTTCAATTATTCGGTCAATAATTCATGACAATCGTCCTCAATCTAGCTCGTGAAACTAATGCAATTATTGAATTTAAATTAAAGACCATTTGGATTGTAAATGGTAATAGTTCCGCTTGCTTCAAGTATTAACACAAATGCCAATATCAGTCCGAGCGCAACACTTACAATAGCCAGTGTGATTGACCGGCTGACAAGGCCTGTTTGGGATCCAACGGGACCCAAAATCGCCAGGAGGGGAAGGGCGAACAAAAGTGTGAACAAAAGTGCTGATGATGACGAAATCATGATGAGAATCCCGAATACGCGAAGGGGGTTCAAGCCGGCGAAAATGAGGGGCACGCAGCCTAAGGAGGTGGTGAGGCTGCTGCTGATTATGCTAAGTCCAATTCGGTTCATTGCACGTTGGCAGTTCAGCTTGCGCAGTTGGAAGTAAGCTATAAAAAGACCACACATAACTGAACAATATTCTTTCAAAAAAATAACTTCAGTTTTTGTGCTCCGTTTTTTTTTACTGGGATAAAAGTTTGAGTCACAATGGAGGCTTTATACCTAAAAAAAAGTATCGGCAAAAATACCCTGAAAGATGTTGGCCGAATTAATTTTCTAAATATGTGAGAATAATTTTCTGCTGTAGCTTTTTCTCGCAACAAAACTTTATGAAAAGAAAATCCAACAATGCAAACAAATTGACTGTTTTTTTTTATTTTTATGTACAGACAACTGAGCTACTTGGCACAAAAATCGGTTTTTCTTGTTTTACTTTGAACTTTCAGAAACAAGTTTTCGAATATTTCAGAAAAATCATGTGCTAAAGTCAGATTCGCAAAGGAGTCGGCTCTTTTTCCTTCCCCCCCCCCCACCTGCAAATTTTTACAAGTAAGTTTGTTGACCACATTGTCCGATTGTTATGAAAATTGATATAAAGACTAATTAGGCCATGACAAACATATTTAGTCTTCATAATCAACCTCGTAAAACCACTCGTTACACTAAAAAATTGAAGCTCGTCTGAGGTGAGGGGGGGGGGGGAAGGAAAAAGAGCCAAGGAGTCAATTGAATGCGATAAGAATGCCACTCACTCATTGAGTCATCTTCATCGTCGTCTTGTTCGTTTCTGCGACTGAATGTGGAGTAGGAGTCGACCAGATGGAACACGTAGTCCACTGAGCTGCCCACCAGAATAGACGCCCCCACTATCTCAATCGCCCCCACCTTAAATACAAAACAAATTGGTGTTTCGAATGATCCCTTCATATTTCTCCTCATCCCGACCCCCATCCGATCAAGACCCCCTCCCCCTTCCCCACTTTGGGAGGGAAAAATTGAAATAGACGTTAAATTTTTTGGCCCAATTAATATCCCCCAAATCGAGCATTTTACACTCATTGCTTTGCAAATCTGAACCGAATTAAACGCTGATGTGGAGGATGTTAACTTGGTCTATCTGGGAGGTGAAGGGGGGGGGGGGGGGAGGGGCAATTTTGGGAGCTATTTTACCTTGACTCCGAAGTAGAAGAAAGAGCCAAAGAGAGTGAGCACACTGGAGAGCACAGTAGTGATGATAACCAGAAGGTACTTCAGACTGGCTGTGAAAAATGCCAGCACCAGAATCACAGTTGAAATAGCCACCACTGAAACGTAGGTTAAAAAACAGTTGGCGCCGCTGGAACAAGTTAAATTTCGAACTTTTGCTCTCATAGATCTGATACTCTTTTCAAGGCAATTAGAAAAAATATTTGTGTTTTCTATATTTATTAGTAATTCCAAGATATTAATGGCAATATCTTATTTTTAGTCAACGAACCTGAAAGAAGCTAGGACAACTAAAACTACTCATTTAGACTTCGGAAGCCAAATAGGTTTCTTACTTTTTCAAATATAATTCCTCTCTTTTTTTAAAACGAAAGCCAGTACTTTTTCCTTTCGTTTTTCTCTAATCTCTGATAATTTTTTAAAAATACTTTGTTTTTTGTTCGATTATGATCCCACGATAACCGTCACACTCAATAATTTAGACTTAGTTTTTGAAGCACTTTTTAAGTTTTTGGAAATTTTCTGTAATTTGAACAGAATGCAGGCTCTGAGTTTATTTACCCATGCTATAAAAAGAACCCATCTTGGCCGCTATCTCCATGAAAGCAGCGTCGAACTTGTCACTTGCGAATTCGATGTTGGTGACACCAGTTGAAGGGTCAAAAGTCTTGGATACTGATTTGAGGAAGTCTCTCCATTCGACGAAGTGGTCTCTAACTTCCCATGAGCTGGCCTTGGAGGGGAGGGTGGATTCGAAGACGAAGATGACGTATCCGGGATATTTGCCGTTCAAGTAGCCTAAAATATCAAAATCTTGAACACGAAAAAGGCTGAAAAGTTAGCGAGAGTAAAAACTTCAAGTTAATTGAAATTTATCTAACGTTTTGCAAAAGAAATCAAAAGGTTTTGATATAATCTAATCAAAATTTGACCCGGATAAATTTCAAGATTTGACCTAGATTCAAAAACTCGCCAAACTTTTCACAGCATTTTTTTCACAGTTGAAACGGCTACGCTGAAGCAAAAAGTTACACAGAAATCTAACAGAAGATTAAAAAAAGGTCAACAAAATTGATTTAATTTGCTTCAAGAACAAAAGCTGCAGAAATTAACCGATATTCAAAGAAAAAATGATAAGCTCAGAAAAAGAGAACATACATTTTTGGAAGTTTAACACTTGAGCACTTGAATAATTTGAGCTCAATTGCTATTTTAAAAGTAAGTTTGAAAAATTAAACCGCCTAAATAAACTGTTGGAAAACTTTCAATTTAGAAAACTGAACGCAAAAACGACACGACCAACTGAAAGTATTTTTTTATCGTTAACTGAATTAAAATATAGCTTGAATAACTGGCAAATCAATTAATCTCAATTTCTTAAAAGTAGCTAATAGACAATCGTTAATAAGACGAGTAACGGATTAAAAAAAGTGACAGTATTTAATTTTTTTTTCGAAAATTTGCATCGGTGTGTTTTTAAATATTATTAATCCATCAAACAAACAAAAAGTAGACAGAAACGGAATCATTTATAATTTTTAAAAACGAGTATCAAAAGCCACGTAATCTATAAAAAAAAGTCAGTGCGAATATTACAATAGGTGTTATATTCAAAAAGTGTTTCAACATAAATTCGTATTTGCTGGTGAAAAAGGATCAACTAACCAATAGTGCCCATTGCCAAATCCCCGCTCACAATTTTTGCCTCGGGGAGTCCTTTACACTCATCAAAACTGTCAAAAGTATCCTCAAAAATCTTCTTGTATCTTCTTCCATTTGCATTCCCATTAACGTCAAACTCACTGATATCAGGAACACACTGCCCCCTTCGGTCTTGGACTAGTTCAAAGTTGTCAGCAATGACCTTGCAAAGAGTACATAACGCCTTCACTGTTTTAGTCGCATCTGCAACTATATTTGGAACATCTGTCCAGCTCATTTCACCGTAGGTTGTGAAGTCATCCAAGAAATTTTCATC